GATATTTTCGTGGTTACGTATCATAAGATGGAAGTTTCGATATCGATTATCAGCAGAAGCAGAGGCGCGACTCATTTCTTCCATGATCGGTTTTTTTCGTAGCGCCGATCCACAGTACAGCTCGGCAGTCATAAATACGAACGTGATAGTGAGCCACACGGGGGAAGTGGTGTGGTTGAGCCATGGAATATTTCGCAGCAGCTGCGACATCGACGTAGAGTTCTTCCCTTTCGACGAGCAACGGTGTGTGTTGAAATGGGCCTCTTGGACGTACGATGGATATCAAGTAAGATCAATTTTTCCAACGGCATTCTCTCCCTTCCTTTATACTCACTTGAAAAACCGTCTATTTGTCTACAAAATGATCATCGTCGAAATCAGAAAGTGAAAGATGGAGGAAATGTTCGCGTGGAGGAAGCTGTCGAAAATCTCGAGCAGAGGATATTGGGCAATGGGAATATCGAGATCGCGAAATTCATCCGATAGAATGCAGTTTTCCGCGCAATTAACTCGAACTGTAACCGGTCAATGTGAAATGCACGAGAAACCAACGCGTTCGTTTCCCGTGTATTTTATTCGAATCGATTTTTAAATTACTCCATTGTTCTCCGATCATTTTTTTTATTTTTCTTTTCGACTAGAAAATTTGCGTTGGACATGTTTATTGTATATTATATTTTCCTTGTCAAAGAGACGAGATTCTTTCTTCTTAAGAAACTCTGAAGCAAATATTACAGCAGCGTCTATAAAATAATGTACGCGGTCAAGTAGAGTTTAAACGAAACGAGCGAACAAGAGATTTAATCGGGGAGCGATGTGCGAGCTGCATCGCCCCGAACCTCCCCTGCATTGCCCTCAATTTCACGCAGTTCCTCTCTCGGGACAGGATATGCAGATTAGAATGTGATATATCGGCCATCCGCCCAGACAATAAAAATATCTCCGTGCACAGAGGGCGGGAACGAGTTCAACCGAAACCTTGACACTTGACATTGGTATCCACCAACTTCCGTTCCGAATATCCCCTTTGTCCTTTGGTTTCCGGTCCCTCTCTCTCTCTCTTCTTTAAAAATCTATCTATTTAATCCGTCGCTCAATCCTTTCTCATGGCGTTATCGCCACGAACATTGTCTTAAAAATCTGTGAATCGCCTCGTCCAGGATTAAAAGTTGATCCACGAATGCAAAGAGCTTGCATATGGACGAGAGATATCGTTAAGGGATGATCTTCGACACGTTTCGTCGCGAAACGAGTCAAGATACTCTGGGAGAAAAAAGAAAAAAGAAAGGAAAGTAGTTCGATTAAATTAATTCGAGGATGTTCTCGTGGAAATTCACGTTAAATTTATCCTCCTAATTTGTGCAAGTTTTGTGTTACGTAGTATAGTTTGAAATATGTTGATAGAAGAACTGTGTGCGAAATGTGTGCGTGATAATTAATGTGAAAAGTTTCGTTCGATTATTATATCTTTCCATATATCTTTGCTTTAATTGTAATCAACGGTATACAGTAATTATTTCGTCTTTTCAGGAGATTATTCGTATTATAATAAGATTCGACGATGTTTTTCTTTTTCTTTTTCTTCTTTTTTTTTAAATTCAGAGCATTTTCTCGAGTTTCTTCGGGTAAGAAAATCGTGATACAAACGATAACGTTGGGACAGATTTCTCGCGTGATCGGAATAGGATTCGGCCCTTTCCGAAGTCCAGGGCCGCTTAACGGGGACAAATCGAAAATGCCGGCTCGGCAGGTCGCAAAAATGGTACGGGCAAATCGAACAGCTTAATCCCAAATGCGAGAAGAATTCAATGCGAGTCGTTTCTCCATGGAGCCGACGAAGCTCCACGCTCGAACCCATCCTTTCACAGAGCTTTCCCATTTCCTATCCCTCATGCCATGGAATACATTTTGCGTGTCGCTACGTTTTGCCTTTCTGAAATACCTTGGAAATACGTTTCCTCCTCCTCCTCCTCCATCTCTGTTACGTTATATGGAAAAACTCCATCCGTTTAAATTGATCGAATGCTAGGAAATTAACGATGAGTGGGAAAGGTGTGGAAGGCAAGGGTGGAAGAAAATTCCACCGTGATTTTTCGCTAAAAAAAAAAAAAAAATTGTATCCTTCGAAAGTAACCCCCATGCTTCGCGATAGAACCATTTCTATCCTACGTCACATCGAATACGATTCTCGCTTGGATTTTGTCTTGACACCTGTCTGTCCTGTATTATCTCTACGAGAAATATACCGACACGTAATCGCGTTCCATCCCGTTGGATCTAATTCAAATCGACGATTTAACGATTTTGATCCACTACCTGAGAACATTAGTTTCATCCCCTTCCCCTTCTTTGGAGAGATAATTGCTCCTCGCCAAGAAAACGTAAAAAAAACGTGATTTTTGTAAATCAATATATATATATATATATCTTCTTCTTTTCCACCGTTTAATCGTGAAAGAGATATTAAAACGCCACATGTTGATACAGTTGGAATTGGAGAAGCAAAGCGAGCAAGGAGACGTGAGCAATTATCAAGCGAACGGTGAATTCGACCTGGTCAATTTCTCCGCGAGAAGGAACGTGGAGTATTACTCTTGCTGCCCTGAACCGTATCCGGACATCACTTACGAGATACGATTGCGACGTCGACCGATGTTTTACGTCTTCAATCTGATTCTTCCCTGCATACTCATCAACAGCGTCGGTGAGTATATATTTCGCATATATCGTTTCGTTTCACGAGCGGAGGAGCATTATGAGAATTTGCAATATCGCGAAGTTAAGGAACGATACACGATCGTATAAAAACGGAACATCTTATCCGTAACAGGGTCAAGCGTTCTCATCGGATCTGGAAGAGGAAATTTCATTAAACCGGTCGAATCGTACGAAGCGAATGACGTCTCATCTTTTCTTCTTTTTATTCTTCTTCTCTGATAGTAGAATTTCCCTCCGTGGAAAAGATAGAAGGGAAAGATGCATTCGAATGTTTGTATAGGAAACGAGCACGAGGCTAGAATCGGTTAACAATGAGACCTCGTCCTCCGCTCGGCCCTCCACTCCATTTTTCGCGCTCTTCGCGAACTTTCCCTCGCCCCCTCCCCCTTTTTCTATTTGCTTCCCCGACACGAAAAGTTTGACGCTCTCGCTCTCGCAGAATCGTCTTAGAATTCCTGCGAATTCCATTCGATATTCCGTGACGGGGAATACCGAACTCTCCAACTATTTTTTTTTTTTTTTTTTTAACTCGTCTTGGTTTGTTCAGCCCTGTTGGTATTCTACGTGCCGTCTGAATCGGGGGAAAAAGTCACCCTCGGGATTTCGGCCCTGCTCTCTATGACGGTCTTCCTAATGACTATTCGCGAGTCACTGCCGCCCACGGAGAAAACACCATTAATAAGTGAGTACGTTTAATCGACGATAATAAGCTTTGAACAATACTTTGAACGATAGTGGAAATTCGAGAGAATAGTTAAGCAAAGTTGTTAGCGACGAATCTTTCAATCTTGCGGAAATAAAAATAAAAATAGTAATAATAAATATTATGCCGCCATTATTATCGTATAAAAATCGAGACAAGAGAGGAAACGAGACGACGAAAGAAGAGACGTTACAATCATTATCTGTACTCGTTGAAACGTGAAATTCAGTCTCCATTGGTTAAAAAAAAAAAACTTTCCTTTGCATTTCTCGCTTCACCAAAGGGAAGGGATCGATGATACTTTGTTCGAGATACGATATCGAACGAATTGTTGCGAATAGAATTTGCGTAAAAGGATGTTTCAGATATTTGTGGCACAATGATTGGTAGTATCAATGCTAACAATAGTGGAGGGATGTTGATTGAAAACTCCCAAATGTCTCTTTGAAAGTCCTCCGATACCAATGCGAGATGCAACGGAATCGCGTTTATCCCATTGTGGAAACATCGTACTCGATTTCATTTATCGCGAAACTCTGTAATTGGAAACTTGCTGGACAATTAATTTATACAGAAACGGTAGAAAGTTTAGCGGAGTTTTAATCAGATTGGGATAATGGTTAATTTGTTTGCGTCCACGTATAATTATCCATTATCATTTTCAGGTCTTTATTACGGAGTCAGTATATGCCTGGTGACATTCGCTTCAGCGTTAGCGGTGGTCACTTTGAATCTTCATCACCGCGGTGTTCGAGGTACTAGAGTACCTGGTATCGTTAGATCATTGGTCTTGGACAAGCTCGCCAGGATAGTGCTCCTCAACTTTCAAGAGGAGAGAAGATCGGTAAGATCTGTGAGTTCTTTGAACGAGGATTTATTTATTTTCCTTCGATGTCACCATAAACGATGCACGATTTGCATTAGGAACCGGTCGAACCGCCAAGAAGAAAAAACAATTGTCCATTGCACTGCAAACCGGAACTGGCCCAATCGCAATCGTCGCCCAAGTTCGTGACCAGAAGGGAGGAGAGTAATAGCAGCAGTCCTAGTTTAGGTGAGTTTTGCGGGATTTGTGTGAAAATTCATCGGGTTCCAACAACTTAAGAAAGAAACGTGGCGCAGATCTTGGAAAAGAAGGTGGCCTTGAAGCACAATGGTCACGCGTGCTAGGGAGAGTGCACGCGACGATCGAGAGAAACGAGAAACGACTTGCGGAGCAGGATCGTCGCGAACGAATGGAATTTGATTGGAAACAGGTCGCGTTGGTCAGCGATCGAGCGCTTCTTTGCGTTTTTTTTTTAACGACGATCGTCAGCACCACGGTCATCCTGTGTGGTTCTCCGCCAAGCACGAACATTGCCAAAGAGGGTTAAGGGATAAGGACGATGGTAGAAAAATTGAGTTGAAACCGGAACACGGAATTCGAGTAACTTTGTTTCAAATAAGATCCATGATATAAGTATTAAACACTTGTAATTATTATATAAGCAATTTTAGGAATAAGGTGTACGTACAACGTTCGTTTGTCGAAGATAAGTTGCTGGAAGAATAAATTCTTTTTCTTTTATGATCATTTTTATCCTTTTATTAATTAAACACGTGTATTGTATAAAAAGTATATAAATATCTTTAAAAAAAATATGAAAAATATTTATTTTAATAGTAATCAGGTACAGGTGCACAAGCTATTTTAACAAAATCTTCGTATTTTACTTGTCCATTTGGAGACACATTTGCCTCTCTGAAAATTTGCTCCACTGGAAATTAAACACGAATAAATTTAACAATGATTGTTGGAATATTTTTTTTAGTAATAAAAGACCAACCTTCTTTGTTACTTAATTGTTCACCCCAGTGGAGCAACATATGCGCTAACTGTCTAGCTGGTATAGTGCCAGTCCTAAATTTATCTGCAGCTTGAAAAGCATCTATCACTTCTTTTGGTAAATCTTCAGCTCTAGTTTGTAGATGCATAACTTCCAAAAAATCAGCAAAAGACATTTTTCCACCTAAGATAATTGTAATTTTAAGAATTTGAAATTTTATTTATACATTTTATTTGTACCTTTATCTTTTAAATATTTATTTAATTCTGCAATAGTTGGACTTAATCCTAATGATCTCATAATGATTGTAAGTTCATCCAAAGTACGTATTTGACCATTCCTTGCAAATAGATAAAAACATTCTCTGAATTCTGTAAGAAAACAAATCTTTATTTTATAAATAATAATCCTGAACAATAAAAATTAATACAGTACCATCTATATCTTCCTCTCGAAAATAACGAGCCTAAAATATAGAAATAAATAAGGATAAGTATTAATATTTTTTATAAAATTCATATTTAAAAGTTGCAATTACCATAATACAAAACTTTGTTTATTACTTTTCGTTTACGTGTCAAATAACGTTATCCAAGATAAGGTTAAGTTACTGAGTAACATAACCTTATCCGACTTTTTCACTGTATAGAGGCGACACCCTCGAGTGTTACGTACATTAATTGTAACAATCAGTTACCATTAGCGATCGATCGATCTTCATTTAAATTTCATATGATAATTTTATTTCTCTTGATATTATTAATCAATAATGATAACAGAAGTACATGATCTTTTATTCATATAAATTGTTCGATTAGCATAATGAATCTACGAAACAGTACTTGAAGAAACAGTTTTAAATCAAAAGTTTAAACGTTAATTTCAAATTAAAAGAATTTTAAATTACATATATAATATACATTATATATATAACTTTATAGAATTACAAAATATTTTATTTAAACAGAGAAAAAAAGGAAAGAAATTTAAAAATATAAAAATAGTTTGATCAATTATGATCAGCACTAACAAAAACAAAAAAGAAAAATAAACAAAATACATACAATGTATTCTGCGAGTTATAATAAGGGATAGTTGAGAAAAGCTAAGTTAAATAAATCTGTTGCAAAATAAGTTTTTGAAAGAAAGAAATTTTTTTACGTATTAAACAATTCATTGATATCACATGTTCATCTTCTTCCATTTACCGTATAATTGGCATTGTAATTGGCCTTGTAGATATGTGAACAAGGATTCGATGATATAATATAGAATTTTCATTTATATTTTCGCATAGAAAAATAACTGATTATTGAATATTCCATCATAGATATATTAACATTAGATAAATCTTATTAAATAAGATCATATTATTATACAATCATGTTTATTATTTATCGAAGGAATATTTTGCAAAAAAAAAAAAGTGTAATGATTGTGATAAATTTTGATAAAAATCGGTAAAAAAAATTGTGGTATCCAAGTATCGATTATTTTCCATTGGTACCAACCTTACAGGATGATGATCGTAAACCCTTCGGTCGCCCTTCTGTTTCAGGAATACTCCTTTCCTTTGACCGACGACTAAGGTCAAGTTACAGGGAGGTGGGAGTCAGTACATGATAGTAGAGTGGGGTACTTCCACTGGGAAGGGTTGGTGGTACAGCGTGCCACTATTGGAAAGCGTCGCTTCGCGTCCAGACCAGGCTTGGTCTTTGAGAAAGAAAGAGCGCGCGCTATCAGGGGAATAAGAATGGATATAGGAGAATTTGTAAGGCAGAAGGAGAGAGGGCGCAGTACAGCTGGGTCGAACGCGACGTGGTAGGGGAAGTCGTTGTCCTCGGAGTCTTCGTTCGCACGAGTTCCCGTCAGTGCAACGCGGAACGCGTTCCTGTTCGTATTGTTGAGTGGGGTTAGTGTCGCATCTATTATTTCCTTTATTTCTATCTCTCTTTTTCTGTCTGACTATAAATTTCTTTGTTCATTGTTGAACACGAGAGAACGACAACACGCAATCGTGCGACACACGTGTGATACCGTGAGTAGTTAGTGCAGTGTGACAGGATGCGGTACAATGACCGTAAATGAGTAATCGACGGTGCTGGCAGAACCGGTCGGAAGGACGAGGATCGCGGTGGAAAGGACGCCTGTGGCAGGATTCGAGCCGTTGTGCATAGGTAGGTGTCAAATAATATGCGAGAACAGGGAGCACGCGCAATATTCTACGTGCGAATCTCTCTTTTTCCTTTTCCCTCGGTATTTCCTTTTCTTTCTTTTTCTCTCTATCTCGTAATCTATCTCTCGGTCTTTTCGTTTTCGTTCGCGCGGCTAAGCAATAGTTTTTTTCATCATGCAAGTCTACCTTTGCGTTTCTTCGATATACCTTTCCTCGGTACATATCGAAAGGTATGCAAGTCGCTCGAAGAACGATGCCAGATTTCCCTCGCGATCACCGAGATTATTTAGATGTATAATGCCACGTTCTATCACTATGAAATCTATGAAAATGCGCGTCGCGTCGTTATAAAGCATCGAGATTCGTTGCACGCATATTCCTTCGTTGTTTTGTATAATAGTGTGTTTACGTCGGATTACACGCGCACGATGGAAGATTTAAATGTCACGTAAAACGCATCCCCAGCGCCACCAGAATGTTTAACGGAAGTTATTTCGGCGGATACTGACTTTTTCGACTTTTCGAATTACACGAATTAATGAACGCAATTATAGGTTAGCTTGATATTTTTTATGCTGTATCTTTTTTCGAAGCAATCACGAGAAGTTTTATGAATTTACAAAGTAAATCGAAATTAGAGGCAAAAGATACAAAGATATAATCAAAGGAATCGTTGTTATCTTTGCGAAAAATTGCAAAAGTTATAGAGTTTAATTGTCGTTTAATTGTCGAGAAAAGCGAGCGTTAAACGCGAGCTCTGGATATCGAATTGGCGCATGTAACGCTATGGAGCGTTGCATAAGGTCGCTTATCTATGTGAAAGTTATATTAAAAAATAACCAAAGGAGTCCGTTAGGAGGTCGAAACCATTGTTCACCGCACGATACTCGCGAATACAAAAGGATGCGTTAAGACTAATTAATGTTATCAGACGGCGAAGTTTCCCGCTGAATTGCCCAGCTCCATGTAATTGCAAACTATGCTTAGCCAATATCATACCATCGATATTGCACAACAACTTGCCTCATTTCGATTCAGTTAATTCGATACGCCGTTTAAACAACACACTGTATTATACATAATGGTTAATCCATCAACATCCATGTCGAATCTCGTTAACTGTAAATTACAAGTCTTTGTACTTGGAAACCCTTCTAATTCGATCTCATCCGTTCGATCGTTCCTACGCCACTCGATACTAATCACAATAGAAACTTGAAATTAATAATCCCGAAACTCTCTGGCTTGCCTCCCTTAGACGCGATTTCCCAAATGAACGTAATCATGGCTCGTGCTAATCGCCTTAAGACAGGAATTAATAATCCTCGCACGTTCACGATTCGTCTTCGTAATTTCATCTTCTCGACAGGAAATCACCGAGATTTTCTCAATTTTATGCGGAACGAACGAAAGTTTGCAGTCCGGTGACTTCGACTCGGTTACGAATTCGGTTTTTTTATAATTGCTTTTTAGAGTAGTTGCATCTTTGTGCCCATGTTATGTTCCATCGATGAACGGTTAGGACATTACGCAAAACATGTTTCGCTGGTGAACGTTACGAGGTAACGGTTCAGCGAGGCGCGTTCGATGGAAAATTGTCCGATATTCGCCGTTCGATATACGCCGAAGTGTACGATCGGAATTCACGATTCTCTATGTCCACGCTACTTCGGAATTTTACGCATTTTTAACAATTTCAGTTTGTTTTATGTATCGCGGATTCGCGCACGTTCGAAAATGTAATACACCTCCCGTGCAAAAATTTCTTCGTTTTAAAATTTTTATCGATATCGTGAGAACCGGAAATAGATAGAAATTTCTCTCTACTAGTTAATTTTAATCATAATTTCGCGCGAGTTTCGAGGTTAATCGAATTTCTTTTATTAGCACTCAATAGCATTTCGATCGCACTAAATTCTCGAATATCCTAATTCTTCTAAATCAAGTATTATCGAATATACCGTTATATGGATCCATTGCCGAGCTTGGAGTTTACGTACCGACCCGATTTTCCCGCGGCTAAATCCGACACGTTAATTTAAAAGTTCACCCGGTAGAAATTTCATCCGGACACCGGGACGAGTGTTTCGAATAATGAGAAACGTTCCCTCGGTCGGTTTAATTCCCGCCCCAAGAAAATTAACTGCACTCACTTGCAACAGGGGATGTGAATTGGAGTAAAAATTGGAAAAGAAAAAAAAAAGAAAAAAACTGCTGAAAAAGACGGCAAAAAAAAAGAGTGTGGAGAGGGGAGAATCGCAACGAACTCGCTCTGAATCGTTGTGTTGCAGGAGAGATTCTGGGTTCTCTCTCCTCGGTATAGGTGAAACCGTAGCCGGTTTACCGCTACGCCCGACACGCATACCCTCGTTTCGTCCAATTGGACCGCGTTGGTCGGTCGCGTATTCCCGCTAATAATGGCCAATTGATACGTTATCGCGACCGATTGCATACGAATGCCGTATCCACGGTATTAAATATTTGGTGCGTGGATGGAGGTTGGCGCGTGTTCGTTGGCAAATCCGCGAGCTGCTGCTCGTTCGTCCCATTGTTCTTTGCACACCGGGGGCGGCGTGTATTCACCGGGAGAGAGGGAGGAGGGCAAAGCGACGTAACGCGTACCGGTACGTGGGACGATTATCATTCGCGGATCGTCGGCCGAGAGAACGACGAGCGGAATAGCGCGGTGCCGAGCGGTACGCGCGAGACAATTTTGCAAATTGTCACCGGAGAGACGCGGCACGAATTCTCTCCCTTGTTCCCCACCATCTTCCATCTCTCTTCGCCTCTCTTCCCACGTGTTCCTCTCTTTTTTCTCCCCCTCCTTCCATCCTCTTTCCATCCACGCGAGAGAATTTGTCTCCGTAGCGACGTGCACCGCGGTGATAAAGCGGGCCGCTATTCCATCAACCGGTGGATGGAATAGCGGATAAAAGAAGGTATCGAATAAAAATGCGAATGTTTGTAAATATTTCGAGGGAGGTGGAGATAGATCTGGGCCGCGTTGACGATTCGTCGGTGGGAAACGACGAAAGCCGATTCGCGGTTTCCCTTCGCGATTTTTTCATTTTTTATCGGTCTTCACTTCAAGGATTCACCCCGTGAATAACGGAATAATAAGGATTTCGCTCGCGAGAGGAACGAGGATAGGGTGTAGAGAAAAAAGAAGAGAAAGAAAGCTTTGAGGGAAGGAAGCGGAGTAGGAAATCCCCAGTTGGAGCAAACTGCTCGTTTTGGTTGCACGGTTACGGTGTTATTCAATACGCATCGCGACACCAAAGAAACGGAAATAAAAATGGAAAAATCAACACGTCACGCGTCGAACACGCCGAACGAGCGAGCCGGCGACAGACCAGATATCGTTTTCCCATTGCTCGCGCTCAAGTTTGCCACGACAACCTACGGTGGACGTAGCAAGTCGTGCA